AGTAACCCACATCCACCCCTCTCCAGTGGAACGAGCACGCATCCCCCAGGAGCTCTGCAAGGCCAGCAAAGCTCTTGGCAGCGCAGTACCTGCGGGTGCTGCACTGTCAGACAGCCAAGAAACAGTTTGTCACGAGGCAACCCCCACCCCCACATGCAATTTTCGTTCAGAGAACAGATCCACAGGCATATCATGCTAAGTTTTCCGTATCTTGGTGGCAAATTCCCTCCCACCTACCACTCCCCTACTCTCTTCACACAGAAAAGTCTCCACACTGGACCTCCTCAACACCTTTCCCTTTATATGAATTTCCCCGAAAGGATCGGGGAGGCGCCTTTTGTTAGCCAAGCAGCCTTGAAAACGATATTGTTTTCCAAGAAGGAGTTTTACATGCCTTTGATAATCCCAGAAGGGATTTATGTAGTTTCTTCCAGTTTCTCGTAATGCTGCAGTCACAGGTCTACACAGAAAAAAGGCTCAGGAGACAGACAACCTGTTAGATAAACTAAAAAGTGAGCATTCAGATCCATTAGATAAAGGTTATTCATGGGAAGGCTGGACTCAGATTGGGAACTCATAAAACCCCCAAAGGACCAGGAAAGCAGCCACCTACAAGCCTGTACCAGAAAGGTAAGTGACATTATAACAGAAAAAAACAACCTCAGACCAACAACAGTAATGCAGAACTTTGGATCCCTGGGCTACCAATCACTTGCTGTCCCACCTGCTTCCAAAACCAGGATCTATGTGCTCAAAAAAGGAGTAGGTAAGTCTAGGCATTCTCCTCTGCTCCCTCAGAAGTAAGGGGTTTAGGTTTCGGGTTGCTGGGACTTGGTTTTCTTTGGAGGCGGGAAGAGGAACTAGAAAAGAAACGGAAATGGAGGTTTTTCTCCAGGTCCTATGTCCACACTAAACATAGCCACCAAACATACACACTATTAAAAACAGAAAATCCGAGACCAACAGAGCATGAAGGGAAGATCATCAAGTTAAATCTGACAAAGTTTTTAGGGAAGAAAAACCTTTTAAGGTCCAGTTGGCAATGATTTTAATAAGGAATCTAGGAATTTTCTCAAGGCTGCCATGTGATTCAGAAAACAAGAGCTCAGAACTGCTGCACACAGTTACTGTGACTTCTTTGTAACAAGTTATTAACTCTGATCTTTAGTATATCATAATAGCGGAGACGGATATAAATAAGATCAAAACATATGATTCAAAGTCCCCAGATAAGGAGGACTCCGATTGGGAAACTGCCGCCCTCCAAAGCCGTCCAGGCCACCAGGAAAGCAGCCGTACAAAGGCTCATAGAAAGTGGGCCAATCTTAAAATATTAGTATTACAACATGAGGCTTTTCAAGCTGAATTCTTGCAGCTCTGGCAGGCAGGGAGCTAGAAATAGAACGTTTTGAATTTAGGATCACACATGCAGAGATCTGCCTGTGACAAACACCAAGAGCAAGTGCCAGAGAGCATTTGAACAGAAACTTAGGAAAACTGTCAAAAAAAGGAGGGGGGGGGGGGGCAAGCCTACACATTTGTCAACAACAAAAAGGAGATCAGTGCAGACAGTTCACTAGCTTCTTTCCAAAAATTACTTTGTCACTCATTCACTCCCTGTCGCAGCTTCAGAGCCAGGACACAAGTCAGTCCTGGAACAGGTAACGCCTTGCTCCCCTTTACAGCAGTAGCCAACATCAGATTGGCTGGGAGTGGACTTATTTCAAACGAGATATCTCCCCGAGCTGAGCAAAGTCAGGCAGGTCATTTCCTAGGCCAGTATAAAGGGTACCTTATACTTCCTTGCATTAAGTTTGAATGATTTAATTCAAACAAGTTAAACACTCAGTGTGCTCAACTTGTAGGCAAACAGATTTGACAGAGCTGGTGGAAGCTTAAGGTCTGTCAGTGGTAATAGAAAATTGCCCCTCTTTCAAAAGCTATTTATTTATTATTTGTAGGTAAACAGTGCTTTTTAGAAAAGAAGCTTTTTTGCAGACTGCTTCAGAAATTATGTTTATTCACACTTTAAAATATTAGAGCAACAAGGGAGTGGGAATGCGCTGCAGCTCTCTCAATTTCAAGTGTCTTGCCTGGCAGCATAGAAGTGAAACAGGTACTTATTTTGCAATTGTGGGCAAAGAACATTAATAATAGGCCCAACACCAAACCCTCCAGCTGTTCAGCCTGAGCACCAGAACAAGTGCAGAACTACTCATTTCATCTTCCTCAACAACATTTAAGGACATATTCTGCCGTGCTTTGCTTTCAATCTCATCCTTGAGAGCCTCAATTCCATGTTTAAGTTAAGAATGTTTTGCTCCTGCCCCAAAAATGAGCTTCAAAACCCCACCCACCCAGCTAATACCAAACTTCTTTTAAAAAAAATAAAAATAACAGGCCTCTCTCCTTAAACCCATTGAAGTGTTCAACTGCCAGCGCTATGACACGAGCTGCGCGTTGCACCGAACGGTGGTAGCAGGGACCTGGGTGGAAAGAGAGACATACACGTGAGTTTTGAAGCAAGCCTAACTGCGGCGGAAGGTCACCGTGGTGGGAAGGGAATGATTAAAAGCTGTAAGCTTATTTATTTTCAACACTCTACCAGAGAGCAACGTGCAATTTGATTCTCACCCTTAATTTGTACATTCTCACGGGAATTTGGCAAGGTTGCTCTGAAGAAGAAAGTTTGAAGAAGTCTTGCAAAAGACACCACGCTATGCCAGATCAAGCAAGCTATCAGTTATTTACATTCATTTCAAAGGACACAAAGGAAGCCATTTATTTCCACCATATCTGCACTTTTCAAAGAGAAACCAGTTAGGACAGAGCTGGTCCTAACACCAGGGCTTGTCAATACAGACCAACCAGCGTAGCTATTCTGGAGTAAACATGTAAGTACGATCAGACTACCCTGGATTAATTCACAACTACAGAGACTACTCCAGGACACAGCGATCTCAGGAGGGAACACACATGTTAAAAAGTCATCCTAAACTTGCACTACTGGGACATTTCCCAGTGCAAGCAAGGGAAGCCCTCTGGCTACCAGGGGAAGAGAACTCTGTTTCTTCACCTTCCAAGCCACCCAGGAGAATTTTTAAGCAGCCTATTTTAAACATAAGTTTCAGGAACTGTAAGGAGGCATATTTGGCTTAGCCACACTTGCAGGATTAAAACGCACACCTAATTCTCCCAGCTATTAAATAAAGTTACTCCTATGTTAACACACAGGAGTGCAATTCATCTCTTTCAAACGGGAAATAAAGCAACGAACATAATATTAATTTCTTCAGACACATTTCTATAAACACAACTAGAAAAAAACCAAGTCTTGCTACAGGTTAAAAACACCATCATGTTATCTTGAGCCCGAATAACCAGGGGGTGGGGGCAGAATGGGGACAACACACAACAGTCCTACTCCCACACATGCAGCAAAACCCATCTTAACCAGCCTACAGTTAAGTGACATAATTGAATTTCCCAGCTCCTGCAGCCGAGGGAGGCTGTCATGCATCTCTCCTTTAAAAGCTCCAAACCCAGGAAAGATTTCCCCATTGCTACACAGAGGCAGAAAGAGATAAAGAAAACCACTGCTGCACTGGTCAGTAAAAAGCAGGAGTATGTTCACCTTCTATTCGTGAAGATGAAATAAAGATAAGTAAACCAATGGGGTAACCCTCCAAAACCCCCAAATTGAGTTAAGCAGGAAGAAAGAGATCAAACGCCATGCTGCCTCAGCATATGGACAAAAAAACACCTGAAATTTAAGTGGTAATTTAAATTTGTTACCTAGAAAGACCTCAGAAAGACATCAGTTTACAAAGTTCTTTACAAGGTAACTTTTGCAGTTGATAAAGGTGAACTCAAATATTCCCCGTTAGCTGAGCTGTGGGGTCAGTGCAGCTGTACAGAACTTCTCTTTCGGCCAGACCGAGCTGCTCAGCAGTACTTTGATCAGATCTCCCCAGGTACGATCAGATCCGTGGCACTCCCATTGCCTTTAGTTTTCCAGCACGGGAGTCCACACATCCAACCTGTTTGAAATTTCATTTAACTATTTCTTCAAAAGCACCTTCCTGCACAGGCCATATAGGATTATTATTTGACCGGCAGTGAGAAGAGATTTTAAAAGGCAGGGAAAAAAAAAAAAAAAAGAAAAAAAAAGTTTTTTCCTTCTTCATAAGCAAAAGCTTCTAACAGTGACAAAGATGCATTTGTCAGGTCAACACATCCTACAATTAAGATGGGGCTGGAAAGCCTCAGTCCCATTCTGATGCAGCTAATACACGCACTACACCAGGGAGGTAGAAAGGTTCACGTTGTTGCTGAGCCCACCGTCCTGTGGGCAGAGGGAAGCCTAGGGAAAAAGACCTGTAACTCTGAAGTGCAGCACCAACAGGTGCTTTCAAATATAATTTAAGACTCAAACTATTTGAGTTACAAGATCAAACTGTCAATCAAAATGACTGGAACACGAGCAGATAGCTGAGGTCGGCGGCCTGAGCCTATGAATGGAGCTAAAACGCCTTGTTTATCTCAGCACGTGTGCGCGCACTAAGCCTGAAAGATACGGTTGACCTACCCGAGCAGCCCACCCGCTCCTCACTGTCAGGCCAGCTGAAAAAGCACGGAGAAGACATAGCCAAGTAACGGGTGCGGATTCCCGTCAGCGGTTCTCACTATAACAGATAGATGAGTGGAAAAAGCAAGAAAGAAAACAACCTTGCTTGGCACCATGCCCACACACACATCCCAGTACAGTGGGGAAAAGAGGCCGGGGGCACATACCAGCCGCGTATCAGCTTTCTGGCCCAGGGAACAGGCAGATCTGGCAGACAGCTAAATAATGGCCACTCTCAGTCCCAAATGCACCTTCCCAAAACCCTCCACCAGCAGGAACCCAAGGGGCCTCTCTGCAGAGTTCCCTCGCCTCAAGAAGGTAGATGCTGATCACCACCCAGCAGCACCTCCCGCCCCCGCCACGGGCAGCCCACCTTTCTTGAACTCCTCCAGCATGGCATCGAGCTTGGTGTCGTTGAAGACAAAGTGCAGCGGGTGGTTGTAGAAGCGGGTGATGGTCTTGAGCGGAGTGCAGTCATCGGGGTCCACAAAAGCCAGGTCCTTAACGAAGAGCAGGTCCACGATGTTGGAGCGGTCACCCTCGAAAACCGGGATGCGGGTATAACCGCTCTCCATGATCTCGGACATAGTGTTGAAGTCAAGCACAGCCTCAGCAGCGATCATGAAGCAGTCTCGGAGTGGAGTCATCACGTCCTCCACAGTCTTGGTGCGCAGCTCCAGGGCTCCTTGAATAATGTTGAGCTCCTCCTTGACTAGATCATTGTAAGGGTCGGTGACCCGCAGCATCTCCAACAACTTCTCACGGTTATAGACCGTGCCGATCTCCTGGCCCAGGACACAGTCCAGCAACTTGCTGACAGGGTAGGAGGCCGGAAAGGTCATCATCATGAAAAACTTGGTGAGGAAGATGGTGTTGGCGCCCACGGCCAGGCCGTGCCGAGAACAAATGGCCTGCGGCACGATCTCGCCGAAGATGACGATACCGATGGTGGAGACCACCACGGCCACCAGCCCAGAGCCGGCGATGTCATCCAGCAGGATGGTAAGCGTGGTGTTGACCAGGACGTTGCCCAGCAGGAGGGCGCAGAGCAGGTAGTTGCCCTGGCGGCGCACAGGCTCGATGCGCTTGGCATAGTTCTTCTCTTTGTCCGTGCCGCAGTTCTGCACGATGCGCAGCTCCATGGGGTCCAGGGCCATGAGGCCCAGGTTGAGGCCGCTGAACATGCCCGAGAGGCAGAGAAGGAGGGAGATGAAGATGACCTGCAGCCAGAAGGGCAGCAGGAACTTCTTCTCCTCGCCCACGATCATCTTGGTGTCCTCGCCGTCATGGTAGATCCAGGTTGTTTCACCCCAGGGCGGGGGCCC